GACTCTGAAGGCAGCTGATAACTGACATACGGCTCTGTCCCGCTCTCTGCCTCTGATACAGAGCCTTCATCAGAGCCTTTCCCAGACTCCAGGCCTGGCCCATGTTCCTCCCCAACCTCCTCACTGTCCGAATCTTCTGCTGACCTCTGGCGGGCTACAACAGGAGGTTTCTTTTCGTGTTCCTTCAGGGCTGACACAGCCTGGAGCTAAGGAGCCAGGGAGGGGAGTGAAGAGACAGCTGGGGTGTTGTAGCCAAAACAAAAAAAATTCCCCTGGGAATCAAGGACGTTTGTGCAGGTGTTAGAAAAGTGGAGACTGAGGTCACTTAGCAACTGATTGGACCATGTGACTGAAGATTCTGGGAAGAAGTGTCAAAGTGTTACTTTTAATTGGGTATAAAACCAGCAGGAACCCAGAGCTGGTTTTCTACCAAGTCTGTGCCAATTTGATATGTCCCAATAAAATGTTCTTTGAGGAACATGCTTGCCTCGGAGTTCTCATTGAAGGGGATGTGTTACTTGGGACCTTGACACTACTCTGACTCACCAATTACTTCTTGCAGGGCAACAAAACTGCAAAGGCCCCCAAGCCAGCTGCTTCTGACCTCCCAGTTCCTGCTGAGGGAGTTCGTAACATCAAGAGCATGTGGGAGAAAGGCAATGTGTTTGCATCACCCTCTGGAATGGGGACACCCAATAAGGTACATGTTGTGGTGGCGCAGTGTTAGAATGCAGTACTGCAGGCTACTTCTGCTGACTGCCAACTGCCAGCAGTTCAACTATTCGTTTCTCAGTGCTTCAAGGTTGACTCAGCCTTCCATCCTTTGGAGGTGGGNTCTTTTTTGTATCTTGATTGTAGTTGGAGATATGGTCTGTTCCTTCCTAAAACATTTCTCTTTCTTTCTCAGCCGACCGGGGTTCAAAACCACACCAGGATCCGAAGATGCCAAACCGCAGGTGGAAGCTGGCAAGAGGGTGGAGGAGTTGCGCCGTCGGCGGGGTGAAAACGAGAGCGAAGAATTTGAGAAGCTGAAGCAGAAGCAACAGGAGACGGCGGTGGAACTGGAGGAGCTGAAGAAGAAGCGTGAAGAACGGAGGAAGATTCTGGAAGACGAAGAACAGAGAAGGAAGAAAGACGAGGCGGAGAGGAAAGTTCGGGAAGAGGTAAACAACACTGGTGCATTCAGAAAGGGAGCAAGGATGCTATTTTAGAGTAGGTGTGTCCCTGGGTTTCATACTTTGACTGGTTTTGCACAGGGCACTTAATCAGATAAGTTAAAAACCTAATGTCAGGGTTTGACCGATTCCCTAATTAAATCATGAGCCTCCAGCCAAGCTTCAAAAGAAATCCAGTTATTTATTATAACCTTCACGTCCGCATGTTCCAAATGAAGCCACCTCTGAGCTCATTTAATTCACACCCCGGCTCTGGCCCTGTTTTCCCCTCCCCTCCAAGGTGTGTCATCAGTCACATTCCCCAACGAAGCAATTTTGCGGGTTGTAGAGTCCCTCTCTCCAGCCACTGTGGGTATCCATGGAGATGGCCTTAACATAGAGATGGCTGGAATGTGCTTTTGTTTTGAATGAAATGTGATGCCCTCGCTGCAGCTGCGAGGCTCGGTTCCTCATCCTTCTGCTTATGGCAACTGGAGAGCAGGTCAGGAATACTTTGCGAGTTGACACCTAACAGATACAGAAAACCAGTTTGGCCTAGCAGTTTAAGCACCAGCCTAGAAACCAGGAGACGGCGAGTTCTAGTCCCGCCTTAGACATGAAACCCAGCTGGGTAAACTTGGGGCCAATCACCAGATGACTGTAAATTCTAGTCCTGTTTTAGGCATGGAAGCCAAATGGGTGACTTTGGGCCAATCATCAAGAGACTGTAAATTCTAGTCTCGCCTTATGTATGAAACTGACTGGATGATCTTGGGCCAGTCCCTTTATTTCAACCCATCTCACAGAGTTGGTATGGTGGAGAAAACGAGGATGGGTACAGGTGATGTACCTCCAAATGATGACCACAATTGAGTCCAAACTTTTTTGTTGTTAAGTGAGAAATTTGTTAAGTGAGTTTTGCCCCATTTTACGACCTTTCTTGACACAGTTGTTAAGAGAATCATCGCAGTTGATCAGTTCGTAACCTGGTTGTTAAGTGAATCTGGCTTTCTCATTGACTTTGCTTGTCAGAAGGTGACAAAAGGTGGCAATGGTCATAAGTATGAACCAGTTGCCAAACGTCTGAAATGTTATCACATGATCATGGGGATGCTGCAAAGGTCATGTGTGAAAAACGGTCATAAGGCACTTTTTTCATTGCCCTTTGGATGGTCACTAAATGAACTGTTGTAAGTCGAGGACTACCTGTATTAGGTACATTTCCTGCCTTGAGTTATAAAAATAATAAATAAAATAAATGCATGCAACCTGCTAAGCTTGGCTAGTGTTGATTTTAGAGTCTGAATGTGTGTGCCTTAGCATTTTTGTGANTCCATTTTTGCGAGGGGAGGGGTTTGGGAGGCCAAAAATGCTGTATTCAGAATATGATACACCCAGATTTTCACCCTCTTTGGGGTGGTGGGTGGGAAAGCTGTGTCTTATACTCTGAAAAATACGGTAGTTTTCAAGTTTGGGTTTAGCATGCTAAGTGCCATTCTCTATTATGATCTGCTAACCCAGGTTTGGGATTTAGTGTGTTATGTGAATTCAGGCAGTAAGGATGCTACTTCATGCTTTCCAGGTTTCTCAGTTTTAGGGCCTGTGTTGTGGATTATATTTGCAATGATTGTGCCAGCTGTACGTAGGCCTTTTTTAAAATAGTTTATTAGTTTAGTATTTAATAGTTTTAAATAGTCTCTAGGATTTGCTCAGTGATCCTGGATTATTCTAGTAGTTCCATGATTTTTCTGTCTCTCTGACTTGTGTGTTTCCTAAGATAAAACCCTTGTTTTATCTGGGCAGCTGCAACAAAACCCTGTTGCTATGGAAAGTTTAAGGTGACCTAAAGCCCAGTTTAATGCGAAAGTAAAAGCTTCTGCCTTAGCTCTGGCATGTGAAACAAAGTTTTGCCCAGTAGTTCAGTTGGAGTTTACATAGTTTAGGTACTCATTAAACCACAGTTCAGAAATTCTTCTGAGAGCGTCTCTGCTTTCATTTTCCTCCTCCTCCTCCTAAGATAACCTTAGCCAACCTGATGTTGTCCAGAAGTGTTTGCCTACAGCTCCTTTCCTCCTTTCCAACTAGCACTAGATATGATGTGTGGAAACCCACCACATCTCCAGGTTCAGGAAAGCCATTCTAAAGCACTGTTTCCAATGCAACAAAAAGTTGTCAGAAAACATATCTAGGCACGTTGGAATACAGAAGACCTTGAAACTTTGGACACATGAAGAATGTCAGACTTTTTTGCAGTAAACAAATCTAGAAAGCACACAAACACACACACACACACACACACACACACACCAGGGGTGGGTTCCTGCCAGTTCTACCCTCTTCTATAGAAAAGGTTCCACAAATCTACAGTGCTGTTTAGAACCGGTTCCAGCTCCTTCCCCCCTGCCTGTCCGCACATCATCAAGATGAAGAGCAAGAGGAGGCATTCTGGGAGTTGAAGTCCACAAGTCTTTAAACTGTCAAGTTTGAACACCCCTGGGGTTTTTTTTCCTAAAGGGTTAGGGGTGCAAGGGTCTTGTAACTTGAAAGCTTTAAGACTTGCGTGCTTCAAATGGCAGAGTTTGTGAGCCAACATTTTGGTTGCTAAGCAAGAGCGTTGTTAAGTGAGTTTCACCACATTTTACAAGTTGACCACGCCCACCCAGTCACATGGATGCAAAGTCACTCCCATAAAGCAGATCACACCTACAGAAGAGGTTCTGAACATTTTTGAAACCCACCACACATACATACATACATACATACATACATACATACATACATACATACATACATACATACTTACATACATATTTTTTGGAGTATAAGATGCACTGGAGTATAAAATGCACCAAGATTTTGAAGAGGCAAATTAATTAAAAAAAGGTTTTGCACTCTGCAGACCTCCCCAAAACAGCCCATTTTTCAAAAAATGGGCCCATTTTTTGTCAAAAAAGGGCATGCATAGCCTTTAGGAGGCTTATAGGGTGCTCTTGGGGGCTGGGAGGGGCAAGAATGAGCAAAAATGGTCTGGTTTTTGCTCATTTTTTGCCCTCCCCAGCCCCCAGCATCACTCTGGAAGCCTCCTAAAGGCTATACACGGCCATTTTTGCAAAGGGGGCAGGGTTTTGGGAGGCCAAAAATGCTGTATTCAGTGAATAAGATGCAACCAGATTTTCACCCTCTCTTTTGAAGGAAAAAACTGCATCTTATACTCCAAAAATACGGTATATAATATATATAACACATGAGATCTATATACAATACCAAGAGTGGTTCTTCCAATGTGGTAGAGAGGAGAGATTGATTTCAGTTCCAGCAGCAGACTAGTGTTTAACTCAGCACAGACTCAGAACTACAGTACTAAGCCACACCCAGGCTCCAAAGTGTTTCAGCTCCCATTCGCTCACCTTGTTACTAAGCCCTATTTCAGTTCATGAATATATCTACTGTGGCAAAGAGGGAGACAAATCCCTTCTGTTTCTAACCACACTTGAACAAATAAAGTATTCTATTATATTCTATTCTCTTTGTAGCACCATCTCCTTGTGGTTTCTTGGCTTCACACTTTAATTCTTAGTCGCCAGCAGAAACAAACCTTAATTATACCTTTCCCTCTTGCTAGGGGCTTCTTCTATCTAATCATGGAGTACAGAAATATTTTTATCGATTACCTTGTAAAAAGACATTATATTTTGATGGTGCTGAACAAATAAAGTATGCTCAGAGTAGTGTGACATGAATGTAGACTGTTTCAGCAAATATATTCGTGCTCTTTTAATCACTTTAGGTATTCTAGCGGTTGTTCTGAATAGAGGATCAAGCTTTTTTGAAACTTGTGTTTTGCAGATTATCCTATCAAAGAAATGATGATGATGATGAAGAAGCTGCCCGAGAGCGACGCAGACGAGCCCGTCAAGAAAGACTGCGGCAAAAAGAAGAGGATGACTTAGGGCAAGGAATTGAGAAACCTGAAATGAATGCCCAAAATAAGTAAGATTCTGTTACATGAATAGTTTTGGGGGAGCTTCATTCTAGGCCATAGGGGATTTAATCAAGGAAGGGTAGCGGAACAATGTAGTTGCTCCTGTACTTCAATACATTGTTCTATCTATATCATCTATCCTCTAAAGTGGAAGGAAGTTCTTGGTGCAGCTCAGCGGTGGGTTCCGGATGCCGTTGCAATTGGTAGGTGCAACGGGGCTGGGCGTCCACCACATGAAAACGTGCATACACACAGAGCACGTGCATATATACTTACCACCTGCAGCGCTCCAGTTGTTCAGCGGAGCGTTGCGCAGGCGCTATATGCTTCGTGCGCATGTGTGGAAGCCTCAAACAGCTCAAATACAGGTAAGGAGTTCTGGGGCGTACCTGTCGTTCTCACCACTGGTGCAGCTTTACAGACTCACTTTCTTGGTTAGGAGAGAATATATCTCTCTATATACCTACTTACCTACCTACCTACTTCCTATCTATTTCTCTCTCTCCCCCCCCCTCTCTCTCATCTGTCTGTATCTATCTATCACAGAAGTGTAAAACTCGATTTCAATTAGGGTTGCATCAAGGTTGTTATTGACTTCGGAGGGCAGGGGGTGGGCATGGCCAGGTCGGGTGTACCTTAGAGTGGGTGTGACATGGGACTTGTGTCGGGGCACCTATGGTGGCCAAGTGCTAAGGGAGGACTTCCTTCAAACCCTCCCTCATTCTCATTATAATCTTCTTTCCTTCCTTCCTTCCTTCCTTCCTTCCTTCCTTCCTTCCTTCCTTCCTTCCNTCAACTCCCAGAATTCTCCAACCAGCAGAGCTGGCTGGAGAATTCTGGGAGTTGAAGTCCACAAGTCTTAAAGTTGCCAAGTTTGGGAACCACTGCCCTAGAGCAACTGTCACTCTGGTGTTTTCTAGAGATGTTACATGTTTGAATAATCCTGATGGGTAATATAGAAGTTAGTGGTACCAGACTGAACTTGCTCTAGATTTAAAAAATAGTCCGATGGACTCCAGAAACGCTGTTTTCCAAACATAACAATGCCGAAAGCAGGATAAGCCACTGAACCGAATTCGGATTTCCTGAGCCTTCCTCCTGAAATCAACGAGATTTGTCTCATTAAATTGATTTAGATTGATATCTCAGTGAGCCTCCTTGCCATCTGGATCAGGATCAATTTAGTCGGGGAAGAGCATTTCGCACAGTTGTTCATTTGCTATTTCCGATTTGCGTTGGCCACTGCTTTAGCTGATGTCGCTCATGACATTAATCTCTCCTGCAGACCCGAACAAGTTTTCTGGAACGCTGCACTCTGCACACAACTCCAATTAGCATCAAGGCATGTCTCGGCATGCTTGATAGTCAGATGGTCAAGAGCAGCTCCAAAAGGCACTAATCCGAGAATGTTTCTGGGTAAGGGGAGGTGGGAAGCCAAGACAAACGATGCACAAAACTTGCTATATGTCCAGATCCGAATTGGGAGGATAATTCTCGACTTGGCTTATCTTGGAGATTATTTACGAAACGTCTATTTAAATGTTTCCGCAAACCTTGTAATGCATCTTTTGGCTGCCTCTTAGCAGCACTGTTTACAAGTACCGTAATAATATTCCAAACCAATTGATTCCTACTTCATAGACAAAGGGACTTTGGGACTCAGTTGGATGGGAACAAGGAAGTGTCCCGTATGCACATCCAACCCAGAGGGGCCAGAACCAGATGTTACACAGGCTGTAGCACATCTACCGTATTTTTCGTAGTATAAGACGCACCGGAGTATAAGACCCACTAAGATTTTGAAGACTCAATTTTTTTAAAAAAGGTTTTGCACTCTGCAGGCCTCCCAAAAATGCCGTTTTTTTGTGAAAACAGGCCTGGTTTTTGTCAAAAAAAAGGGCATGCATAGCCTTTAGGAGGCTTATAGAGTGCTCCTGGGAGCTGGGAGGGGGGCAAAAATGAGCAAAAAACGGCCCATTTTCGCTCATTTTTTCCCTCCCCAGCCCTCAGGAGCACTCTGGAAGCCTCCTAAAGGCTATGCATGTCCATTTTGGTGAAGGGGTGCGGTTTCGGGAGGCCAAAGATGCTATATTCAGTAAATAAGACGCACCCAGATTTTCACCTTTTTTTTTTTTGAGGGAAAAAGGTATGTCTTATACTCCGAAAAATATAGTAGTTAGGGATGACAGAAAGTGCTTCTTCCAAATTCTTTTTGATTGTAAGGAAAGGACACTTTTCAGCGACTTGGGCGAATGTGTATAAAAGGCAAGCCGGTGATAAAAATGTGCTCCCCTACCCAAAAATCTGGAGATAAACTTGTAGACAAATTTAAAGCTTTCAATGATTGCTTACTTAGCCCAGATATCATGTGGTTCCTTGGAATCCTCGCTATGCAGATGAGCCACTTTTGAACGAGGGTCCAGTAACAATGGAAGCAAGTATTATTTTAAGCTTGTTTGCATGTGTAAAACCTTTTCCAATTCAGGGCTTTTTGTACAGAGCAAAGCTGAAGCTACGAGCTGTTTTTAGGACCTTACATGTGCAATAGATTAATAGTGACACGGTGGCTCAGTGGCTAAGACGCTGAGCTTGTCGATCAGAAAGGTCAGCTGTTCAGCGGTTCAAATCCCGAGCACCACGTGACAGGGTGAGCTCCCGTTACTTGTCCCAACTTCTGCCAACCTAGCAGTTGGAAAGGATGTAAAAATGCAAGNAGAAGGGGAAAACAGAAAAGAAAATATTAAATATATAAGTATATATACAACAGCGAGATACAAAGGGGTGGATACAGTTAGGATAGACTAGCGAAGGTAAGGGAATAAGAAATGATATTAAATTATATTTGGGTTTGCGGAAATACCATCCCAAGGAAACATAAACTGAGATCTGAAAGAGACACCTACAATAATAGAAAAGAAAGAGAGAAAGGTGGAGAGAATGAAAGGAAGATGGAGGAAAGAAGAAAGAGGTAGGGAGAGGAGGATGGAAGGGAGAGGAAGAGAAGGAGAGAGGGTAGGTAGGGGAAGAGGAAGAGTAGGAGTAGGAGAAAGGTAAGGGAAGAAGAAAGAGAAAGGAGAGGAGGAAGGAAGAAAGTAGAGAAGGGAGGAAGGGAGAAAAGAAAGGGAAAATAAGGTGGTGTTACAACAGGAGGAAGAGTTGGTAAACAAAGCAACCCAAACTGTATATTATAACCTATGAAATGAAATAATAAATGTATAAGAATGATAAATGTAAAGAAGAATAACGATTATGTGAATCTATATTTAAAATGCTATGTAAGAGAATAAAAAAATAAAAATTTTCTGGAAAATATGACCAGGCAAGCCCCCTGGGCTACTGCAACAGGTGGCCAGCCCCAGCCGACCCTGAGAAGAGATTGCAATGGATTTCATCGTAGAGCTCCCAGTAAATACAGTAATTTGGACAGTCATCGACTTATTTTCCAAGCAAGCCCACTTTATTGCTTGCTATGGGCTACCGTCAGTGAAAAAGCTAGCGAAGATGTTTGTCAAACACATCTACTGCCTACATGGTGTGCCCTGGAGAATCATCTCGGACTGAGGAGTCCAGTTCACTGCCAAGTTCTGGAGGGAGTTCCTGAGGTCCATTCCGTCCATGCAAGGACTCAGCTTGGCTTTCCATCTGAGCACGAATGGAGCGGTGAAACATCCGAACGCAATGGTTGAACAATACATCCGTTGTTATGTGGACTACCTACCAAGAGGAGAATTGGTCGAACCTGCTGCCATTCGCTGAAGTGCCGTATAATAATGCTGTCCACAGCAGCACTGGATTAACTGCTTTTCAAGTTACCAGTGGCATGGAATTTGTTCCCATGCCTGAGCTGCCCAGAGAACCCCCCTCCTCGATGTCTTTGACTGAATGGATGGACGCTCTTAAAAAGGGGTGGCAGAATTCCAAAAAAGCTCTGGCAGAAGCAGCAGAAGAATACAAGAAACAAGCTGACCGCTCACTTCAACCCCGCTTCTGTGTGTGAGATAAAGTTTTTCTATTGGCCAAATACATACGGTTAAGGATGCCTAGCAAGAAATTAGGGCCAAATTTTTTAGGTCCCTTCCCAATAGTCAAAATAATTAACCCTGTAATGGTTCAGCTCAGTCTGCCTAGAATCCTAGGGAAAATACACCCAGTTTTTCATTGCAGCCTGCTGAAACCTGTGATTGGGTCTAATTTAAGACCGCAGACCCAACCACCCCCTCATCCTGTGGTAATACATGGAGAAACTCACTACGAAGTGGAAAAAATACTAGACTCTAGATTGTACAGAGGTCGTTTGCAATATTTAGTGCATTGGAAGGGGTACCCTTTGTCCTAAGCTACGTGGGTGAAAAGTTGGAATGTGAAAGCTGACAAATTAGTGAAGTAGTTTCATGACAAGTTTCCAGATAAGCCAAAGGGTCCCGGG